TCGCACTCTCTCCTCTCTTTCCCTCAAAAAACTCATAAATCCTTCAAAACCCACTTCAACATTCACATATATCAATCTCCATATCCGATTTCAAGCCATGAATTCGATCTCGGACTCTTCTTCTTCTTCTAAAGTGATGTGTCAGCTGGTTCCAGGACTTGACACCAATGAAAAGGAGTCCATTTTGGATCAAACCTTTGAACGATACACATCAAAGATGGTAAAGAGGAATGGAAAAGGAACTGCCATTGTTTGGTTCAGGAATGATTTGAGAGTTTTGGACAATGAGGTGCTGTTCAAGGCTTGGGTTAATTCTGAAAGTGTTTTGCCTGTTTATTGTGTGGATCCTAGAGTTTTTCAAGCTAGTACTGGCTATTTTGGCTTCCCTAAAACTGGAGGTAAACATGCACGCACACACATTGTTCCTTTTTTCTATGTACTAATTGTTTTAAAGTGCCAAGTACCCTTTGAATTGCTTTTGATAGAAGATTACCATGAGAAGGTTTTGATAAATATGTAAAGTGTTCCATTCTTGTTGCTTTGGCCAGGCTTAAGAGGGCAGTTTATTGTAGAGTGTTTGGTTGATTTGAAGAAGAATTTGATGACAAGGGGTCTAAACTTGCTTATTAGACATGGTAAACCTGAGGAAATCATCCCTGCTCTTGCTAAAGATTTTGCATCCCACACAGTTAAGTGTTTAATTTGCTTAACTGGTTAATATGTGCATTAGCCTGTGGTTGGTCTAATTTCCATGTATTGAAGCAATAATAAGTATGGGATATTTCGATTTAATCAAGTTAGGTATATGCACAAAAAGAGACATGTAGTGAAGAAGTAAATGTTGAGAAACTTGTCAGCAAAGCGCTCCGGCGAGTTCATCCGCCACATTCTACTGGGATATCTACCAGCCAGGGTTCTGCAAACAGTCCGACACTGCAACTAGTTTGGGGTGGCACTATGTACCACTTAGATGACCTCCCATTCTCTACCAACAGCATACCTGATGTGTATACTCAGTTTCGTAAGGTATGAATTTCCTTGTTTGTTGCTTGATTGTAATGTCCATGATATGTGGTTTGCATTGTTTTTTGGGAGATGTGTGCTGCTGAAAATAAAAATCTAAATATGCAGTCTGTTGAAGCAAAATGTTCCATCAGAAGCTGTGCTAAAATTTCAATGTCCCTTGGGCCAGCTCCTCGCGTTGAGGATTGGGGATGTGTTCCATCAATTGAGCAACTTGGACTCCAACCACAAGAGGCAGGGTTAATGTTCTACTTACATGTGATTTACAGAAACTAGTTAAGAGCCATGCTCTTAGAAAACACATGATTCACTGCCTCACTAAAAATGAAGTATGTTTCAGTCCATTTCTTCTGTTGATACAGGTTAGCAAAGGAATGAGGTTTTTGGGAGGTGAAACAGCTGCACTAAGCAGGGTGCATGAGTACTTCTGGAAGAAGGCAAGTGGAAATTGTTTTATGTTATCTGTGTGTTTTGTATTGCGGTGCAATGTACTTTTCAAAATTGATTTTCATTTGAAAATGCATTAAAATTATTTTTTTCATATATTTTTTTATTTTCTATATCAACACGTCAAAACTATTGAAAAGTATTAAAAAAACATTAATTTAATGTTTTTTCAAGTCAAACACACTCGAACAAGTTTTAACGCAATGCTAAACAGCTACTTAGTAGTATGTTAGAAACTTTAGTTGATAGTAAAGAGAAAAGAAATCATACTACTCTTTATGATGCATATGTGAACAGGATTTCCTAAAGATATACAAAGAGACAAGAAATGGGATGCTGGGGCCTGATTACTCGACAAAATTCTCTCCATGGCTAGCCTCAGGAAGCCTCTCTCCACGGTTTATATATGAAGAGGTCAATAACATATAATGATTCTTTCGCATCGCAGTTTATGATTTCATTACATAGTTGAAACATCATATTAATGTATTTAAGATGTTTGGATTGATTTATCTAGGTGAAGAGATATGAAAAGGGAAGGCTAGCAAATGATACCGCATACTGGT